GAGCGATGGAACTCTTCTTTTGCCGAACGTCTCTTCTTACTGGGCTCCATCGCATCTAGTGATTGGGCTACCGTACACAAGAAGGCGTGCAAGGTTTGGCGTCACGTCGCTGTGCAGGAGGAGAAGCCTGCAGTTCGCCAGGCCATTGCTCAGTTGTCGCTGGACGCCTTGGCGAACTTCCCAGTTTAGACTAGTGTAGAGTGGTTCTTTGATTCCAATTGCACGTAAATGATCTTGATCCCGCGTCGGCGCAACCCTTGAAAGATGTGAAACCTTGGTGAAACTGAAATCATAAATGCGAGAATGACGGAGGTATTTACACGCAAGATCAGTCGAAATACTTGGAGAGAGTTATCGGGGGGCTTTGATATGTAACGAGCGCTAGAAACTTTGATGAGGGTGCGAGAATAGCTGCGCGTGTTTTACGCGGGGTCGTTCTCGGCGGCTGCCACGCGTGTTCGACTTGCTTTCGTCTTTCCCCCACCCCCATTCAGCTCTCGCAAGCATGAGGTCTATGTTCGCTCAGCACGCCCCCTTTGTCCCTATCATGATTAACTTCGTGTCCGGCGTTCAGTCTGCCGCCCAGGACAAGAGTCTTCGCACCCTTCTCGTCTACCTCGAGCACCTAGCGCGCGTTGAGCGCTGCGAGGCCAAGCCCCGCGACGTGGCTTGCCCTCCGAAAAACCTGCTCTATCCTTGCCTCGACGTGGTGCTCACAGCCCTGGCGGATCGTGTCATCCAACAGCCCGAGGTGCGTACCGGCAACTGGGCTACTTGAAGTTGAGTTAGCGCGCATGTTGACGCGTTTATGCCTTGTCAGGCGTGGAGATTCTTGCTTCCGACAGCTATGAGGTTGTTCCAGCTGTACCAACTCCCGGCCGTCGAATCCCGAACGGCAACTCGCCAGAGCCGCACGACATTCGACACCGTCGAGGACTTCCTGTCCGCCATGCTTCCTATGGACCGAATGGCCGAGGCTGTCGCTAGATCGAACGACTTGCGGCACATCGCCAACGCACGACCAGAAATCGCGGACTTCGCTACTGAGGTTCTACAGATGGTCTCATACCACCAAGCGTAAGCCGGCCAGGTTCTGCGCGTGTAGTCTAGAAATCGAACTCACCGCCGCCCTCACAGATTTTCCCGCCTCGCAGCCGCGGTCTGGTTCCAGAAGACCAGGCGGACCTCCGCCAAGCACTGGCTTCGAATCGCCTACTCTCTCTTGGATGAGAGATTCGGCCTGGAGACCTACCACCCTCCTCTCAGCGTCCTTTACCTGGCGGAGCGGTCTGTTCCCGGCTTCGACGGGATGATTCAACAGCACTCATACGCGCTCTCGCTCTTCTTCCCCGAGGGCGTGACGCAGACGCCTCTGCCTAGGCCGGTACTGGACGCGCTTGTTCGTGATCTGCCGTTGCACCAACTGTTCGCGCTGCGGCCTGTTGGCGACGTCTGGCCCGACCGTGCTCATAGCTGCGCGCACTGCGGTGAAGACTTGACCGCATTGCCGAAGCGTCGTGCTTGTAAGGGGTGCAAGCGCCCTGCCTATTGCAACAAGTACTGCCAGAGAGGGTAGGCGTACAATGACCTTCAGCATAGCCGAGTTGACACGCATCGCAGTGACTGGCGCAACAAGCACTCCGGCGTCTGTAAGTTGTGGGCGTCTGTCGACGAGCGAATGTCGCAACAAAGCGTAAAGGACTGCTTTGCCGATATCGCCGCTTGGTCGAGGGTGGAAGAGGTGTTGCAGTCTTCTCCTCACCTGGACGGAGAGAAGGTGCAGCGAGTGATGGAGATCATACGCGATTCGAGGGCAGTGCTCTGCTCAAAACCTGAGCGCGTTGCAGAGAACTCGCGCAAACTTCGCGCGCTTCTTCGGGAGCTGGGGATCTAAACTGTTAGTAGTAGGAAGACTGCGCGTGCTCGGCGTATTATGGCAATGCGAAGACAGTAGTTGTGGTAGTGATTGTAGGTCGTGCTTCGTGTAAGCGCGGCGCCGAATTACCGGAGCCAGCTCTGCGGCCGTGGCGGGCTGGTAGAGATATCTAGATGCGCCAACACGGCGAAGTATGTGAGAGGACGGCTTCTGATCGAAGCGCCGGCCTGATTCGGGCAAGTTGATCCAGCGGGTCCTGCTGGGGTATAAGAGGAGCCGCCTGAGCAACCTCCTTTCAGCACGACACCGCCATGCGCTACAGGTTAACAGAGATCGACCAGTGGGCGGTCGTTCATGACGTTGTCTGGCACCTGCAGGCGCGATACCCGCGCTCTGTGTCGTGGGCGCCTGAGCTCTTCAACGCGGCAGAGCGCCAGCGTGTTGAACTACAGTTGGAGAGGCTCATACGGCAGAAACTGTACGTGAAACAACCGTGGAAGACGAGCCTAGCTGAATCAGAATAGAGACCACCTGAACCAGGGTTCTCCAGGAGCCGTCGATAACCCTCCGGTGTCCCGCCCTCGCACGCGCAAGGAACTCATTCGCCTCAACTTACCCGCTCGCGGCTACGATAGCGACCTGCGTGAGCTGGGCGAAGCTTCAAGCGGGCTCCTCGCCAATAGACCGTCAGGCGATGGAGAATACAGATGCGAGGTTAGCGGGACAGGCAACGTCTGGTACTTGAGTCGCAGCGGCTACGTTCTCGCCGTGCACGAGCACCCGGCGGTCGCATGGGCGAGCTACCTGAGCGCTCTGTACGACGCGTCAGAAGGTCGCCGAGCTGTAGCGCCTGACCCCCACAAGATAACGCCTCTGGACTTATTCGTCGACGACGTAGCTTCTTGGATTCCTCGCGCTCAGCGCTAAGCTCGAGTCACCCTTGTTCTTGATCAGCGCCTGCTCCAATTGACAGCTTGCTTCTGAGAAGTAGTCGCCGGTGGCGCGGCGCGGTGCATCGGCCTCCGAGACCGCGCAGGTTTCCCTGAAAGCAGAAAGGAACAGTTGATGATGGAACCAATTGAGCATTTGCGCACGTAAATAGATAGGAGGGGAAGAGAAACCGGAGAGCTGTCGTGCTCAAGTGAAGAAGCAACAGACCCCGGCCCGTGAGAGACAACGCTGCCAGCAACAAACGTAGCCACGTAGAGACGAGACATGAAGGCGCCGCCGTCCCGCCGCTATGCTGCCCCGATCAGCGCCAACGGATGCGATTCGGCCCGTGTGGGTGAGAAGCCGCGTTATTCGTGGGGGTTGTTTTGAGAGGCTGTGCGAGTCGTGTTACGTCTGCACGAAGCAACTCCCTCGTGTTGATTAATCGCCGATGAGCCGCCTGGGCCAGATACGCCTGACTTTTGAAGCTATATAAACCGCGCATCGGCTTTGAGGATGAGGCCAGCCAGAATGCTTTCCAACCCCGACGACGAATTGTGGAGCTTGAACACGCCTAGCCTCGAAGCTGCTACGGAGAGCTCGCGCGAGAGCGAGCTGGAGACGTCGGCCTCTGAGTACTCCATCCCATCCAGCATGCCTAGCCTTCTGCCACCTTCGGAGGGGCCGTACGTCGGTGAGTGCTGGCAACGGCGGCGTTGAGCCTGGCCCTGATTATTTTTCAGAGAGCGAGGCTCACTGCGAGCTCACCGAGGAAGGAGAACTTGAAGAGCCTGCCGCAGGGAACAATGCAGCCGGTGAAGATAGGCTTCTTTCCACTAATTGAGCGCGACTGATGAAGCACTTAGAGTTCCTGGATGGCGTAGACGCGCAGGGTTCTGGCGTAGAGCGTTTAGAGGTTGATGGAGGCGAGCCTGGTCCTCGCGAGGACAACGCAGAGGCCCAACGCATGATGAGACTCACGGTCTGGCTCGACGCCACCGCAAGACTGCGCGAAAGGTCAGCTCGTGTCGATGGTGTCCAAAATCTGCGTCTTACGAGTTCTATCAGAGCGAGCAGTCCGGTGAACTGGTCTGCCCAGCAGCAGCCGGCGGACGGCGCTGACCCGAGTGGCGCAGACCGCTGGCAAGTCCGAACGCACCCTACTCATGACGAAGGGCAATCCCATTAACAACTTGTGCGAAGGGGTCTTAGAAGCCTAGCTTTGAGGGGCGGCGGTCGAAATTTGTCAGAAGCCGAGGCGCGCGCTCGGGATGAACTTGAGAGGGCGGGGCTGAGAGGTTGCCGGTTAGGAGGCTTCCGAATTTATTAGACACGCAGAAGTTCTTGCATGAACATACGCATATTGATGGGGTAATAGTTAATCTCTATGTAAGCCTCGCCGTCTCTCTTCAAGACGGGTGAAGATGTCAAGAAGCTCAAGCGCTAGCCGGCGAGATCGAGACCGTTCGGAGAACGTAACGTCTGTTGATTGTGACAAACGTCACGTTTCATCGTTTATAACAAGTCCATTCGTCCTCCTTCCGCAACTGCCGCTATATCGTGCCCCTGCCGACGTCGCCCCTCCTATTGCTGATCTCGTCCGCTTTGACGCTACGCGAGGCTATTCGTGCGCGCTGGACCTCCGATTGGGAGTGGCTGTCGCCGTTCCTGACGACGCGACCGTCGTCTCAAGGCCAGACAGAAGTTACCGGGATTGTCTGAGCGTGCGTCCTTCTCCGGTTGTCTATTCCATGCCGCGGCCCATCGTACTGTAACGTTGATGACGGCCCTCAGGCTGACTGATACGGTGTTTCCTTTCTTTGTCTGGCCGCGGCTGGTGGCGCAGCTTTCCCATCGTTTACCCTCCCCTTTAGACGCTTTCTCACGCGCACACAGGCTGCCTGCTATGCCAACCCGCGAGGAGGCCGAGGCAAGCTCTTACTTACTCTTGCCGCTTGAGGAAGCTGACTTACGGTCTCAGTTCGAATGGGAGCCCGTCCACGAACCTCCCCTGGACGACGCGCCGCCATTAGAAGAAGGAATGCACGACGCTCAACCCCTGCGCGTCAGCGTCGACTACAAGACCTTGGTCGAGCTTGCTGTGCGTCGCGGCAACTCAATAGGGTACGGCGTTCCTGCCTTTGCCAGCGGCGAAGAAGACCTAGTTTCAGAAGCTTCGTTGTCTCCTCCGCCTTCCCCACGTACGCCTCCCTTTTATGCTCCGCCGAGCGTCCTTGTGCTCACACTATTGGTAGTCACGCCGCTTTCTGAAGAAGAGGAGACGGGGTTTGACGCTGAGGTCTCAGCGGAGAAGATTGCGGCGGCCATTGAGGTCGTCGCGCAAGAGCGGTTGCGGCGCGGGGAGCGCGCGGGGGAGCCGATTAGCTACGAGCATCGACCGCGACAGGGCGGTCGCTCGCACGGCGCAGCAAAGAAGTCTGCAGCGCGCAATAACGGGCAAACCCGGTCTCCCGGGGTTAAACGGTGCTCGCAAGCCGGCTCTAGGGCGCGTAAAAAAAGACGCAAGGAGGGGGAGAAGGCGCGCTTGGCCGACCGCCCTTACGACAAAGTCCACGAAGCCAGCTACTACCGCCACAAGTTCCCCACCTTCTTCGTGTCGCTGAAGTCGCTTCAGGTGGTGTACGAGACTGTGTCGTCGGGCTACACGGCGAAGCTACCTCACCTCAAGATCCGCGGTCGCTTGTGGACGGACGAAGATCTTCGGCGCGTCGGCTCGGTTCATTTCCCTTGGGATGGAAAGTGAGTGGCGATTCCGGGTCGTTTCAGCGGTCGTTCTCTGCAGCTCAACGTCAGGGCAGGGTCTCGGTGGCGATAATAGATTCGAGGCATATCTGCGTAGGCGTCTTAGTTGCGCCCCCGAAGGGCGAGTCGTTTCAGACCAGCGGCCGTGCGATGGCTGAGCTCATCGAGTCTCAACGCATTCGGCGTCCGCGCGCTTGGACTCGCCCGCTTGGCAAGAAACGCGGCGATTTCCCGTCTCTGTCGGTGGGAATCAACTACAACTTCACCGAAGCGGTGGGTCCTTCTCCTCACGCTTGTCTGACTCTCTGACGAGAGTCGTAGCGCCCCAAGAACCTGTCGTTGAACAAAGAGCAAGAGGCTGTGGCGAAGACACTTCTTGAGAGCCCTGATGGGCGACGCATTGCCGGACATATGAGCGGTGCGTTCTCAGTCCCTCGACGCCACTCGCGCTGAACAAGCCCACCAGAGTCCTTTGCTCATTACTTCCCCTTCGCGTACGAGCATGCCTGCGACCGCATGCGGGAGCTGCACGCCTTGCTCCCCGATCTGAAATTCCCTTACCCGAACTGCGTCTACCCCACGGTGACGTTCAACGGAGGGCCTCAGACCGCTACCCAGGAACATGCCGACGTCACCAATAATCCCGGCACGCCTTGCATGGTCTTCGCCTGCGGCAACTACATCAAGGAGCACGCACGCTTTATTTTCCACGATTTGGGCCTGCATGTCGATTTCCCGCCCAACTGCGGCGTCTTGCTCTCCTCCGCATCTGTACGCCACAGCAACACGGCCTTGGCGGAGGGAGAAACCCGCTACAGCATTGCCATGTATATGCCAGGGGCGCTCGTTCGATACGCGGCCTACAGCGGCAATGTCGGCGAGGTCTCCGCCACGCAACGGGCCCGCCTCGACGAGCTATATAAGGAAACCTGGCGCCATCAACATTCCAGGCTGTCGGGCTTCTGGCGCCTCCCGCAGGATCGTGAGAAGGTTCGAGCGAATGAGCAGACGCGCGCCAGGGCGCAAAGGAACATATGAGCGTCGGGCCTCAGCGCAGGCGCTCTGATGCTTGAGCGACCTACTTCTCTACGAACCTTTACCATACATACGAAGTCTGATCGTCTGGAGGGTCGTAAAGATACGTATAATTGAGTTGAATTGCGCTTTGAGCGCGCATAGTTGGGCTGCGTGCAAGCCGGGGCGCAAAGTAGGCGCGTTTCATGCGGTACGGCAGGTCACTTGACCGCGTTTCGGTCCCGAGACTCGCCCCGTGGACCCGCGCCGACTTCCGAACCACTAACCAATAGCGGAGTCAAACGGCTCATGCCTGGGGAAGCAAGGTCGGGCAAGCGCATTTTCGTCACGACATTCAGAGTATAGCCGGCATCCTGCGACCCGCGTATATTCTGCCTGAGAAGGGTTGAAACCACGCCCAATTCAGACGGCTGAGCCAGCTCTACGCGTGTGGTCTCGGGGACGACCACGACGTCAACGTGGCCAGCTTCAGTACGCTCTGCAATAGCCGCTCTCCTTCCCTGGTCTACTCTTGTTCTCCTCTCAGTCATTGCGTTGCGATTGCTCACTAGTCTTTGCTCGCCTGATTCGCCGTCTCGACTAAACATAGTATAATACGCGCTCCGCTCCCTCGATTGCTTTGCACCTAGCTTTCAGCGACGCCACCGCGTACTCCCCTGCGCTCCGTGGCTATATATTACTTAGCACTTACGTCGCGTATGCCCTCGGGCTCTCCGGGCCTTTTCGGCTAATCCGAATTAGGAAGGCAGCGGTCAAATCCGTGTCCTGCTCTTTGCCGCCCTCCCTTGCTGAGATGGAGGACGTGGATGAACCACTAGTCGTGGGGTTAGCTCTAAAAAGCTGCGCGGGTTGTGGAATGCGGCGAAGACGCACTGTCCCGCTTGGCGAGAAGGTTTAGTGACAGCATAGCTTAGCGTATAGACACCTACTTATCTCGGGGCGTTGAGACTGGTGTCTAGTACTACAGTAGGCTTGTTCGTGCATCGAGCTTGGGTGACTTGGCGAGATCGTCACCAAGTAGAGCCCATGATACTATCCTGGGTCAAAATCAAATCATATTCGCCGTCGCTGCTCTACAGCGATTAGAAAAGTGTTTCTCGAATCAGCGGCCGGGAACGCCCGACGACCCAGTATGTTGGATGTTGTGAGGGTATTCGCTCTCTCCCTCCGTATGAGGCGTTGAGCATAGTCCTGCGGCAATCGCCGAAGACGTTGTATCACCAAATGCAGCTTACAATGCTCTCTGGAGGAGCGGTCAGGCTCTGAACGCGCGCAAAGCAGGTTCAAGCATCGGGATGGAATTGAGGACCGTAGATACCCTACGTACTAGCGGGTGTCTATACACTACGCTACGCTGACACTGAGCCTCCTCGTCGAGCGGGACAGTACGTTGTCGCCGCATTTGGTAACCCGCATGGCTTTGCACAGCTAACCCCATGACTAAGTACTGTGGTTTACCCATGTCCTCTATCTTGAAGGGAGTCATTACTCTCATTCCAGTCAGATCAACGCGATCAGCCGTGTTGACGACAACTGATATACGTTCTTCTGAGTAGGATGGGGTATTTGGAGATAGTGGTGGCAGTTGACGACCAATAGGTCCCGTACAAGGGGCTGGCTAGATCGGGGCCGCCCAGTCAGCGGCCTGCGTGAGAAACGGCTGGTCGTGAGCGTCTCACCCCAAACCACGCCGGACCCTACTCAGCCGTAGCCGCCACCACTGCGAATTGCCGCTCTACCCGCCTACCCCTCCTCTCTCCGTCTTATACCCTACTGCCATCCAACATCAAAACATCCTGTCTAACACCGCGATGGCACACGTCGCGGAAAAGACGTCGGGGGACTCTTCAGGTCTCACTGATCAGCTCTCGAGCGGGAACTTGGGTGGTGGGTTATGGGAATACTATAAGAAAATCGTCATGGAGGAGGGGGCCGACTTCAACGAACTGTCCGATACATCCATGAACGGCGTCCTTACCTTCGTACGTGCTCTTTCGACGTCAGATTCTCACTATATACTCATCATCCGTAAAGGCCGGTCTCTTCGCTGCCACGCTTGCGGCGTTTCTAGCTGAGACGTATAAATCGCTTTCGCCCGATTCAGACGGTGAGCCACATGCGTACTTACTACGATTGAGCTTGGTGATTGAAGCGACACCAGAGTCTGGAGGCGACCTGACGTCCTCAGCAGTCGTGATAAACACGCTCTGGGTCGTGGCCCTGGTCATCTCACTGCTATGCGCGCTTTTAGCAACTCTCATCCAAGACTGGACGAAGACTTTCCTCAGAGCGCAGGCTCACCCGACGGCGGTGACTCTGGAGCAGCAGTGCCTTGAACATATGTCGGCGCATATGGGAGCGCAACGCTACGGCCTACCACTCGCGCCCAGACTTGTCGTCGGCCTCTTGCACGCAGCTGTCGTTCTCTTTCTGGCAGGGATAGTCGTCTTCTTTTGGCATCTGAACCCCATCCCAGCTCGTGCAGCCCTCGGCGTGGCGGGAGGATCTATCTTCATTTACGCCGTCGCAAGCGCCTTGCCCCTGTTCGACGCGTCGTGTCCCTTTCGCACTCCCTTGACAGACGTCTACGTCTTCATCATCATGCTTGTGACGGTCATCGTCCCCGGAGCCCTCGTCTACGCGTGTCTGCTCATTGCCGCAGCGTGGCAGAGAATCACCAAAGGGCCCCTTAATCCTGGCATTCGCCGAACGCTCAACCCCGTCATGATGGCGTCTCAGCTCAAGGATCCTTACGCCACTTCACGAGTATACCATGCCATAAAGGACTACTTTACGCGGCGCAAGTCCGAGGAACCTCCACCCCTGCTGCCTCTGGTCTTCGACGCCATCATGGGTAACGACCAAATCGACGAAACAGCCGTGAACGCGGAGAAAGTGAGGTTCCTCTGGGATCGCGTGGGGCCCTATGCGATGGAGCATCCAGAAGCTCTACAGTACGTCGTAGGGGCGCTCATCGACGGATGGTCCCCTGTCGTGGACGACATGCTCATAGGACTATGTTACGACGCAGCTGAGTTGCCGAAGATTGCCGCCGCCCTGGGATCTGTTCACACTACATTCGCAGCAACATCCATGTTGCGGCTGCTTCAGTTGCTGTTTCAAGCAGAGGACGCGAACGATCGGGCCTTAAGGGCCACAGTCGGCCAGGGCGTTCGGTGGCAGGCGACTGACGCAATCGTGGACGCCTTCGCGGGCTTTACTCGACAATTAGACGCGCTACGTCAGGCGGAGATAGAGCAGAGGAGCACGGAACTGCTCGCCGCGCTATCGAGTTTCCGGACCACGCTCCTCCAGCTCTTGATCCACACGTCCCCGTCGTCCCGAGATGCGAAAGCGCGGACCCAGATCTTGAGGATGTTCGCCGAGTTGCAGCGCTACGACGGAACCAAGCTTCAACGCGTTTCCGCTGACGATCCCGAGGACATGATGGGCCTTTTAAGCCTTGATCGCGGCGACGCCGTGAAGGTCGTCGTTGCGAAGCTCGCATCTCGCAATTGTCTTACCCTCATCGCCGGTGCCAAGGAGAGCGATTGGGAGGGGGCTTGGGATAACCCTGACCGACGTTATCTGCGCCGAACTACTCCTGGCACATTGCGCTGGCGCGAGCTGTTCCCAGCCGCCGCCCAGCGTGGGACTTCGGCCGCCTCTGCCTTTTTTCGCGATTTTCTCAAAGACGTCGGCCTAGGTCATTGGCTTGTGGCAGGATCAGCATTCACCACTCCTCCGCACACCTCTCTGAAGGCAGCGGCGGTTGTCGCGCTACGTGACGTAGCGAACACAGTCGACTTCCGCCCGCTTATCCAAGAACCGAGTCGCGCAGACCATGATCTGACTAGCGCCTCGACCGCGGCTGAGAGGTTCGAGATACCCGGCTCCCCCAGGCTAGACAAGGTTGAGGAAGGGACGTTAAGGTGTGTAGCGGCGTCAGGACTTACCTCTGCTTACGCTTGCTGACTCTTTACAGCAGTTTGTCGCACGAGTAGTCGCCTCTGCCTTACCAAGCTTAGAAAGGCCCACATCCAGCCTCATAAGGGCATCTCGCTCTTTATCATTCTGACCTCGATATGCTTAAACCAATCGCTACCTGTACGGGTTTTCTGCTGACCTCGCTGTACTAGTCTCTTGCGTTCGATGTTGTATAGTAATGTACGTTGTTAATCATACCATGCGATGGAGCTTGATGCGCATTCAGAAACTTGGCTTCTTAGGCGCAGGTTTGGGCTTGTACTATGCGGTGTCTTTGCAGGCAAAGGAGGCTTCCGCCGCCACGTTGCAGGCGCTGTCTCGTGGATGAACTCATAAGTTCGAAACAAATCCTTGACGCGAGAACGTGCCTCGAAAGGGTCTTGTGTCGAGACTAGATGAACTCAAGCGCGAACGTTCAAATTTGTGACTGACGGCCGACATCAAGAAGCATGATGCATGAGCACGAAAGTTGTCGAGGGCGTATATAGATATAGTCGCCCTGGTTCCGACGTAATACCCTGGACTCTGTTTCATATACGACTGCGGCAGGTCTCGTGACCTCGTGCTATCAAGGTTGACAAGCCGACTACTGTACGGTTGCATTGAGCTGAGCAGCCTCCAACGCGACGAAGATATCCGTGGCATGGCGTTCTGATCGCGTCGTTACCTATCTGTGGACCTGACGTACTTGCTTACCGTGGTCTACGGTGCAGGACAGAGTACGGAGTGCACTACAGTTTAGGTTGAGATCATCGCCAACAGCCGCAAAGAACAAGTCGCAGACATGTTTCCCAGGATGATGACTTCACAGTCCAAGCGCTATCCCTACGGGGTTTTCCAAACGTACGCTCCTAGATGAGATGGGCAGAGACGTGATCGATGGACGCCGTGTATTACAGCCGTCTTCAATGAAGTACGGAAACAAGATCCACCCCGCGGCCCCCCAAAAGGCATGGGTCAACGGTAGTTTCCTGAAGTTTAAGGGCGAATGCACCTCCACGATGAGGTGGATTCAATCCCTTTTGCCTCTCACTCAACTACAGAAGTTCGGTTATCTCCCCAGGTCTACAATTTTGGGATCGAACCTGGGGAGATGTATTGATGCGCGTCTCCGCACTTCGTTTTAACGTGAACGCATCTGCGGGTTTGACAGAGTTGCGTGTTACTTTCGTTGCACGAACCATTGCATCATATCTAGCCAAAGGACGGACATAGTGAACCCCAAACGGTTCCCGACGACAATAGGCAGATGTATGACGGTATGTTGATCAGCAAGCACGCCGTACGATACGCGGGCTCAACTGCAATACGACGTTGTGGGGTGTTGGGAGTAGAGCCGTGAGATTCTACTTCGGTCTCGCACCCATCTCACGGGCGCTCAGAGTTGCCCCAGTAGGCCTTGCAACCTCTTGAATGTTGAACGTAAACGACATACGATCACAACGTTGAAGCTAGTCGAGGGCAGAGGGTACTAGCAGGATGTAAGAGGCTGTGTGAGAGGCAAGAAGGGGGCAGGCGAAATGTGAGGGGAGAAAGATTGCGAAAGTGCGGGGTGAGCACGAATGTATACGACAACATGACGACGAAGGGCAGACGAGGCGGGTAGAGGCATTGACGGCCTTTGAAGGAAGTGGAGGGGCGAGCTTCAAGATAACGAAGAGACGTGCTGGTGGACGAACAAGCGGGAGAAATGCGATGGGGCAAATGAAGGGCGGGCGAGTACCGGGAGACGAGGGACGACGAGCGTCGTAGAGCGTCATTAAACCTTGAGCGTGTGGCCTTCGCAGCGGACGGAAGGGGCGCATAGAACGGCGCGTCTTCAGCGGCCGACGGCATAGCAAGCGCGGCGTACGTCCCGTTTCGTCCGCATGTTGTAGGCGCGCGTACTATGGCGACACATCCCAGAGACGCATGGTTGATTGTGCAAGAGGTTTGCCAACCCATAGGCGCCAATCGAGGGCGTCGCAGAGGGCTCGCTCGCAGCGCCCGAGCTCCCGAGGATGAAGCGCCGCCAGCGTGGCCCATGGGCGGTTGGAGTAGCGTGTGTCGTGCAAGAACTTACTTGCAAGGACGAGCGCGGCGATGAACGTACACCGCGGGTTGAGCAACGGCGACGGAGGGTCTAGTGAAGGCGCTGAGGTCAAGGGGCCAATGCGACTGCCCTGAATAAACCAGTGACGTAGGCGATAGTCCACGGACGGAGTCAACCCCCGGTGCGGAGTCTGGTAGGGGCCGTAGGGCGGGTTGGCAGGTCCAAAGTCCCTTTCAACATTGCCGCCATCAGCAGCGAGATCGATGAGCTTTTGGTCCGGATCGCGTCGGCCACATCCGGCAGCCTCAAAAGCAGCAAGCTTGATTATCTCCTCGCGTATGGCCTTGATGTAGCAAAGAGCCGTCTGCAGCATCGGGACGGTCGTAGGAGAGTGCTTGAGTATTTTGATGACGAAATCTCGAAGGTCGAACGCGCGTTCATCGACCTCGTGCTTTTCGAATCCGCATATGGCACGCGGCCCGGTGGTAGGCGAAGCGGGGGGGGAGGGAAGAAAAGCTGAGGGAGAAGCTGCAGAGAGAGGAGCGGCGGAAGAGCCGGGTACGTCCTGCAGAGCGCGGATAGCGAAGAGGGAGCTGACTGCATGGGCAGGCCACACGTCATGTAAGGTAGAGACGGTAACGTCTAAACTCGCCAAGGGTTGGAAAGTGCTTGTCGTCTTCAAGAGTTCATAACTCACCTACAAGTCGGGATAAACGTCGGTTGCGAAGGACTTGAGGAGTTACGACGCTGATCACAGAAGTGGACTGATGAGCGTCCAGCTCAGTATCGGGTGGACAGACTATCAGAATTCCACTACGGGGGTTTGGAGGGCGGGAGTACGGCTTGTACCGGTTTGGCCGGGTGCGTGAGGAGCGCCTGTAACCTGGGTCGGCGACATGACAGGGAAGCATACGCGTAGGCGAACTAGCGAGCCGCGACGGGAGGGTAGAGTACGTGTGTATTGAATAAACAGATCCACGACGCGTAGGGGTGGTCGCGGTGTGCAGAGGGCTGTGTGGGCGATTAAACCAGAAACCAGCGTAACGAGTTGGTCTCCAGACTCCACACCAGTCGCCCGAGAACTTCTAAGTCGTTCTCACTGGCGTTTGCCCATGACATAAGCTGATCCGGTGATGGCGGGGAGGCGGACCGAGTGCGCGGCAGCCTCGACCCTCGCAGTTTCGCTCTGACCCACTCCCAAAAAGAGGCAACCCCATCAACGGACAAAATCATTGTGCGCTTGCAGGCGCTTGCCTACCCTAAGCTCACGGTTGAGTGCTGCGCCAACTCTGATATGATCTACGCATAGAGAATGTATCAGAGCTGTTGTCCAGTGCACGCACGCTCTGTATTCATATCAATGAGCCGACGATTGTCGCGCGACGGAGGGAGGGTCGTCGACTGTGGGAAATGCATGCTCGACGTTTCCTTTCCCTTTCCGCGTTCACGTCGAGCACAAGCTCTCCCTGAATCTCAACCATCACCAGGTTTCCCGAGCTGCTTCTTGCATGCGAAGGGCGCACGCCCAACACCGTCCGTCGTCGCCATCACCAGGCACGGCGCTCGTCTCGCCTCTCCCGGCAATGGGCCAGGCAGTCATTAACCCGCACAACACCGTATTTGGCTTCAAGTGTTTGATGGGTCGCCAGTTTAAGGACGAGGAGCTCAAGGACGACGCCGCTCACTGGTTCGTTCATATTTTATTTACTCTAGCGAAGTCTAATAGTCTATTAGGCCTCAAGCCTTTCAAGATTGTCACCCAATCGGACGGCATGCCAGCGGTCGAGGTTGACGCCTGCGGCAAGCCTCAGAAACACGTACGTACCATCATTTTGTTATGTCGCGTGCAATCTCTTAACGCCGCTTGCAGTTGCCCGAGGAGGTTTCGTCAATGGTCCTGATCAAGACGCGCGAACTCGCAGACCAGTGCCTCAGCAGGAAGGTCAGGTGCGTATTATTCTGTGATGTGGTGTCTTGAAAGTCATTTGCTGACTCATTCTTTCCAGCCACTCCGTGGTCACCGTTTCCGCATGTACTTCAACGACGCACAGCGCCAGGCAACCAAGGACGCTGACCGGATCTCCGGTCTCCTCGACGTGCTTCGTGTCATCAACGAGCCTCCGCTGCCGCTCTCGCTTACGGCCTTGACAAGTCGGCGAACTCGGTTGTCGCAGTTTACAACTTGTGCGGCGGTACTTTCGATATCTCCATCCTCAAGATGAAGTCTGGCGTCTTTGAGGCCAAGTCGACCAACAGCGACGCTTACTTGGGCGGCAAGGACTTGCACGTCGTGCTTGCCCAGCACATTTTGAACGAGTTTGAGAAGGAGGCCAACATCGACCTGGGCCGGGACCGCACGGTGAGGCCGCTGAGAAGGTCAAGATCGAGCATACGTCGACTTCGCAGACGGAGGCTTGTCCTTCATCACCGCGGACGCTACCGGCCCGAAGCACATTAACCTCAAGATCAACTGTAGACAGTTCGAGGGCCTCGTCATATCGCTCATCGAGCGTGCCCTCGAGCCCTGCAACAAGGCACTCCAGGACGCTGGCGTCAAGGTGCCGGACATAGACGACGTTATCCTTGTCGGTGGATTGACTCGCATGCCTCACGTCGTCGAGACGGTCAAACAGATCTTCGGTCGCGAGCCCTTGAAGAGCGTCAAACCTGACAAGGCCGTCGCTATCGGTGCTGCCACCCAGGGCGGTGTCCTCGCCGGCAACGACATCCTGCTCCTCGACGTCGGCCCTCTCTCGCTCGGTATCGAGACGCTTGGAGGCATCATGACCAAGCTCATCTCGCGCAACACCACCGTCCCGACCAAGAGGAGCCAGGTCTTCTTGACCGCCGCTGACGGCTAGACCGCCATCGAGATAAAGATCTACCAGGGCGAGCGTTAACTCGTTCGCGATAACAAACTCCCTGGCAACTTCAACCTTGTCTGTATGTCGCCCGCGCCCAAGTGTGTTCCCCCGATTGAAATCACCTTCGATATCGACGCCGACGGCATTGTCAATGTTTCGGCCGAGAACAAGGCGACCGAAAAGGACCAGTCCACGACCATTACCTCATCGTACGGTCTCTCCGACAAGGAGATCAAGTACACGGTCGCCGAGTCTGAGCAGTACGCCGAGGCTGGCAAGGCCCGCCGCGACCTCATTGAGTAGCTGAACAAGGCCGAGATCGCCTGCTCCGACTCTGAGGAGGCGATCAGCGAGCGATGACCGAGTTCAAGGACCAGCTCGACTACGCGGAGAATGAGAGGGTCAACAAGCTCATCGGCGAGCTTTGCGCCATCGCCGCGTAGGCACAGTCCGGCGACGCGTCGGTCTCTGCGAACACCGTCCGTGAGAAGATCAACGAGACGCAGCAGGCGAGCCTTAGCCTCCTCCAGAAGCCGTACGAGGAGAGGAATGCTGAGGAGCAGGCAAAGGACGCGCCTACTGAAGATTAGAAGGACAACCAAGCGCATCCTTTCGTCTGCCGTTGTCTCACGCTTGTCCGTTGTTGCTTCGCTGTCGGTTGCTGTCGCCCTTGACCCAGTACATTACTCTCGCGGCTACCCTCAAAGGCTAGCTTTCATGCCGTTTACGCCTATCATCTTCTCTACTACGCCGCGTTGCACACGTTTCGCCGACTGTATATTTCGCGTGCTGGACGTGCTCCAACCTCGTTCCGTGTACGCTCTAGTCACTTGTCTCTTACGCTCAAGCACAACCCCCCGCTCAGTAGTTATGCCTTGTCGCACGCTCTGATGATAGAAATGTGATTGAGTTGTTAGGGTTTCTGCCATGATGTGTATTACTTACTGATGCTTTGGAGATATTGCCGGGGGAGGAGAGAACAGTGGCGCCGTGAGCCTCGTGTATGGTTGCTCTTCGCTGTCATCTCTGCGACTTCTGTAAGACTAGCAAACTGTCACTACGGCTTTGATATGCGTGCCTTTTGCCCCTCTGTAGCGTGCGCCTCGGCGTCGAGCGCGTAGACGCGTGTGGCTGGCACTTGCCGAGTGTGACTGCGTGTCACACGTCTCCCTCACTGTTTAGCCCCGTACTCATCACCCACTACACGTACAGCTAGCGCAATACCGCAGGCTTATTATACACCCTCGTCGGCATTTGGCAGTACTATATTGAGGCAATCCGACCGTGCGTTCGTGTTGCCCATTGTAGATTCCGTTCATGTCATGCCGTCAAATCAACTGGAACAATCTCTGATGAGATACCTTGTTACAAGCATTTATTACGATATAATCTTATGCGACGCGAGGGAAAAGCTAATCTACGAAGGGAACACCGATTGGGAGCAACTCAGGGTATGGGATCGATGTAGGAAAAGCGCTACGACGCTGTAGCTCGGAGACTGTCCAACGACTACGCTGTTTGATCATCTCGTCGAGAAAAAACCGCATCGATCCTCGCGCATCTCATACGTGATCCCCCAGAAGCTTCCGAAACATGCGTTTTTCATCTCAGCTACGGACGAATTGGACCTCCACTTTCCGCCAAGAACGAGATTGGGAAAGAGCGCGATATTGCAGTTCTCGCCACAGAACCGGTCGGTATCTTTATGTTTGGTCTTCATGTGAAATACGTCGACACGGAGAGCGCAATGATCGAAATAGTGATCCCGTTTCTTCAGAATCTGCCGTCGTAGTGGACACACGCTGTCGAAGAAGACGAATTGAGGGAGCGACTGCCGAGGCGGGAACAGTTGACGCAGGAATACCTATCCATGTGTCAAATGCAATCGAACACCGAACGCAACAGAGAAGCGCACCCGACAAGCATTCACGCCTTCCAGACCATAGAACGTAGCGCGGCCTTGGACAACGACCCACGGACAAACAGACAACTGCTCGTTGTAGGTACGACATCGCGTGAAGTAGGTACGTCGTGGGCGGGTTTTCAGCTCCGGGCTTCTCGGCACATAACAGATCGTCGTCGTCGTCGCCATCATCGACTAGTGCAGCGACATCACCTGCAAAGAATACACCCAGGCGCTCGAGGCGCCGAGACAGCTGGAAAGTGCGGTGCGGCGCCCAGAGTGTGCTACATCGAACGAGCGATGCAAAAGTTCGGGACATGCCGTGAACCCGTCAGATGCCACACGACGGCAGCCGCCGACATGACAGTATCGATCTCGCCATGCGTGAGACGAGCAGTAACTCGCTCGTTGCGAAGGAAGCCGGCACGGGCAGTCGGGGACCGCGCGACATGGGCGCTTCACGCCGACGCCGTCCATCACGCTCGCTCGTAAGACATCTGCGATGAAATTAATACTGTAATAACATGATACAAGCGCAAGAAACCTCACCTCGTCCATCGTGGAGATTCTGGCGCACATGCTAGCGTAAATCGCAACTACGGCTCCAATGCTCCTGGCCGGGCCCAACCAAGGCGAAATCACGGACACGGAGGGCATTGTCGAGGCGTAACGCAGCGTCCCCCACATCCAACGCGGTCAGGATAGTCCCCTTCTTGTCGCGGTCGCGCATCAACGAGGAATAGAAGAATGCATTGAGGACAACTTCTTGAGGAAGGAAGAATGGGAAGAACGGGCCAGACGTGCGGTGCGAAAGAAGACGTGCAGTCGCGATGAAAAAGGTTGTAGACCCCAGCGCTGTTTTCCGCAGCATGACTGATTGAACATGTCACACACTAAGTACATTTCCCAGCAGATGGTTGGCAGGAAAGGAGCCTTACCTTCCAGGTACGAAGTCCAGAGTAGTCAGATTGCAGAGCGACGCCTCGACGGAGGAATGTGCGATGACGCGGAGGCTGTGAGAAACACCAGAGTCGTATGTGCGAAGCGTAGCACAGTCGTGGACGTAGAAATTGGCGTGTAGGTCGGTTTGCAATCTGGCGGCGATAATCAATTCCAAGCACTGGAAGTCATTGTGTTTATACGCACGACGGCATGATGCAGAATACGACCAAGCGGGCAGCGACCCGTATTCGCGCGTGTAGTTTACCACTCGAGTCGGCGTTAGGTTCGTCGACTCCGGGGCACAGCCGGTGCGACCGACTCAGACAGGAACGCGTCGGCGGGAATAGGTTACGCATGCCTGGATAGAATACATAGTTAGCCGCAATTCATGAGGATAGATGACAAAGTTACGGCGCACCAACGCCGTGAGGCACGCCATGTATAGCGAATATGTCTGCCAGATTGCCTCCGGACGAGGTGAAGGGTCTATGAGCTTGAACGTCTTCATCCTAGATGATAGCGCGATGGAGTGACCAGCAATTCTGGATAAGCGTAGGGTGACAGCGCAGGCCAACCTCGAGGGCGGAGGCAAGGAACGTAGAGACGTCGTGAGGAAGACGAAGCGGTGTATCCGTGACGTGGGCGGACGCGTGCCAAAGGAGACGCTCGCGAAGGTGGCGGCTGAGTTGAACAACGAGGACCAGCTGGCGCAACCAAAGTAATTCGGTGATATCCCGATTTAGCGTGAGCAGAGCGATGATGTCGGCGAGGAGCATGAGCCGGTGCGGAAGCCCAATGCGGAAGATTATGTATCGGCGAGACGGCCCCGCAAGCGTATATGTCTCCTAGTTGGCGCGAGAGAATCATAGAACCTCGTGAGGCGTGCTGGGCCACGAAGACGAGGGTCACTTCTCGGCGACTTCCATCTGTGCTGGCGGTCACGACCTGAATGTTCTAAGCAGGGTATTGAGCTATGAATCAGATCCTGCTGAGCGCATTGGGCTGGTGACTCAGATGAGTAGTCAATTGCGTACCTCTTCAATCCTTAGGAAGTTGAGGCCGAACTTTATACTCTCTCCGTATATCTACTTCTTGCGGGACCTGTATGGGCACGAGTCACTATCTTCCTCTCATTCGATTCGCTCAAACACTTATCTACACCCAGGCCAACCCTTGAGAGCGCCCTGTAGCTGCATAGTGCCAAGACTGCAGGAGAGTACCGGAGATGATCGATGAGCGTCCAAGCGGGGATGGAAGTCGAGTTGGAGAGAAGTCGGATGTGTTCTTGCTATCAATCGGCAATTTCCGCTCAGGGCGTTCGGAAAGGCTTCAATTGGCCTCTTGGCTTTAACCCTCTTTAACCGCTCTTCTTCGCCTGAGCGCCAATCTCGGCTTTGCACCTCTTACGCATCCTTGCCCACTGCCATGTCGGCTTCCTCCCCATTCTTTCTCCTGGACCCTACTTCCTTGTTACTCGGACTGACCCGCGCATTGGCGGTTTGGATATGTATATGAACAGAACGAAGGAACACTCGGATTCGGGCGCTTTAGCTGAGAAGGTGCGCACTAATTGCGCATGGAGTAGGTGGAAATTCTGATACGGCGTACACTGAAGTACAGATGGTTATGCTACGAACGTTTTCTAGCATTCTCTGGGTAATCTGCTGTGCGCCTGAGCAGAAGGCAAAGTCTTCACATGTCTCAGTAGCTTCGCCATCGTCTGCTGGGCCCGCAAAGGTACAGTATTTCTTGTATGCATATGTGGCGACGCCTCATATTGTCGGCGCGGCCTCGTGGGGCTCAAGTTCGCCTCTGGTCACTTCTCGTGACTTGTAGAACGGCCTCGTGTCGATCTTCATGCGCTCAAAGCGGTACGCGGACAAGTTTGATCGCGCTCAAGTTGTGGGAAGCGCGCTCAGGTGGCGCGCGCTTTGGGTACTTATACCTGACTTACTGTACGCTGCATTTCAACTCATACTATCACCAGCACGCCCGCGAGAACTACACCTACGCACGCCGTCACTGATGTCCGAAGCAATCCTTCGAGCGGAGCTAGCCGTCGCTAAGGCGCAATTGGCTCTGGCGCAGGCGCAGGAAGCCACGCGCGTTCAAGACGCAAACACCGTCAACAAGGGCGCCGCAGACAAAGCCACGCCTGGTGGTATGTCTGTATCCCTATCGTCGATGTCTTTCCAGTGCGCTGACGTAATGCTACAGGTTCCGTTGCCGCGGACAAGGAAGCAGACGGTGCGTTCATTCCAGATGCAACTTCAAGCATTCATCTCACTCGTCGCGCTCAACTTCAGCGGCTGGCGCATTGCTTGTACCAGGTAAGTGTCATGCGCCTGATACATTAACGCTTAGCAGCTAACGTCATTATTTCTTCTTTCTTCCTAGACGTCATGGGCTCGGACAGGACGGCCAGCGACAAGGAGGACTCTTCCTCGACGGCGGTATGCGAAGAAGGTCAGTAGTATGCGGTGAAGCGCATCAGGACCACCTAACTTTGAGCTTCAGCCAGCAAAAATGTGATCAGCGCAGAGATCGTCAAAGGCGACGCAACCAACTACGGCAATGATGGCGCTCGTACGTACATGGATCATGTTACAGATTGTAGGCTGACTGGACGTCGTCAGACACAGAGACTTGGGCCAAGCTCATCGAGGAACCGTTTAGGAACGACGCGGGCGACGCTGCCGGGCTCGACGTCGACATAAGCTCCGACGTGGAAGTCGACATGCAGCCGAACGTCGACAGCCTACGCGTGGCCCATGAGCTAGCAGAAGCGTCTGAAGACGACCATCCTGCGGAACTCAGCGATCAACGCGCATCGGAGCTGACGGCGAAAAAAGGACGCTCATCTGCGCGAGCGGCGCGCGCGGCAACTCAAGCGGTTCTGGCTGAGGAGAATAACGCGGAGACCGCGGAATCTGTGACGTCAACTCCGAAGAGGAAGAGAAGCGCCACGGACGGGCGGAGTTCGGATGGGGAAGACGAGGAGGACGAAGACCTTGACGCAGGACCTGGCGTATTCATCGTCGCGCTCAACAAGGGCGCCGCTCCTAAGGGACCCATTTTCGAATTTGCCGACTCTGTCATGCGTTTTGCGGCGTTTGCGTTTGCGTACGCCAGCCTGTGGGGCAACGAGCATCACGCGCTCGTAATCTCCATGATCAAGCCGCTTGTGCAACTCGAATTAGCCCATAGGTTTGAGGTAAGTGACTCTAATCATCATGACGTCAACGTGGTCCACGGAAAGTTGACCTAGGCTGTGATAGCTCGGGCATGAGATGCCCGGCCTTCCGCCCAGTGCGGTTTCGTGGATCACACACCGCCGTGCGGCATGCAAGATCGACGACCCAAGCTACGTGCGGGGCGCGCTCAAGGAGGCGCACCTGGAGCACAAGATGCTCTCGTGCATGAGCACGCTGCGGTCTCTCACGTTTGCCGACGTCGCGCTCATGCACGGGCGCCGTGGGTACATCTTACTTGTGCGTGGGATGCTCCAAGCTCGCGCGAGCAACATCTTAGGGGAAGACTGGGCGATGTGCGTGGGAGAAGTCGCCCGGCTGCTCGCCGCTTTGGTGCAGGCGAACGACGGCGAGGATATGAAATTCAGCGTCAGAGACCCCGTGCTCACGGCGCTCACCACCATCGATCACAAGGCTACAACCGCCGTTACGGCGATCCTGTCAAAGCGCGCGAACGAGCTGAAGGAGATGAATGCAGCTAGGCTGAGGTCCAGCTCGAGCAGCCCAAGGCCATCCAAGCGCGCTAGACGGTCGGCGTCAGCTTCGCCGACTAAGGCGCCGCGGTCGTCTACGGGTTCGAAGTCGAGGCCGCAGGGAACCAAGAAAACGCGCGGGGTGGAGGAAGGCTCGTCCAAGGGCTCGTCGCAGAAGTGACTGCCACTTAGTAGTCTCATCCTTCGTATCTTCTTGTTCTATCTGTGACGCAGTGCTGTATGCGCTTTCGATAAATGATATCTTGGGTCCAAGTCAGACGAGGTCGAATGATACGTAATGTCTGGCAAAGTTCGGTTGACTGAGCGCAAACGCAGGCGCGTCAAGACTGACGTGGGCCTAAGACAGTACATCAAGGTTTCAAGAGTGACACATCCAACGATAGCCCTGACATCAAGGTTAGCCGGAAGGATACGCTGCGCGAAGCGCTCCGACGCATTGGGGAAGAGCAGGACTGCTTCATGTCCGGGCTTGTGGTCATGCTGCCGAAGGAGTGGCGAGGTCCGCGCGAGGAGGATGCGCACAAGATGCCTCTATCTGTCGTTGGGTGTGTACTGTGTCTTGGCAAGCGGAGGGCGCCGCCCCCAGGATCTGCAAGATGCGCGTACAGCTGACGAACATAGAAGGGCTCGCTCGATGGGCTCTGGTTGAGGTTGTTGCGGACATGAGTGGTGCCAAAGTTCAAGACCACCGATTGTATGTGCGGGATGAGGTCGCAGCAAAGAGAGGTACCAGAAGGTGCTGGAGCCTGAGCGCGTAAAAGGCTTGGGCGACAAGACAAGGCTGAAACAAGGGGAAGAACTCTCTATAGAAACGGCGTTGGGAGAAGGGGAGGAAGTACTGAGAAACGAAACAGGCGAGCAATTCAGGCCTTGCGAAGTAGCCGGTCTCGTGAATGTGGCACAACGTCGGTGAAGACGGAAGCCTGAGAGTGACCGAAAGATGATCCACCTGTCGAATGTGAGCCTAGCCTGATCTGACTTCAGTATTCGCGGAGCTCATGGTAGAGCAGCGCAAAGCTGAACTCAAAGCACGTGGTGTAGGAACATCACGATAGGCCCAGAAACTGGTCAGAGACCATACACAGCGTAGTTGATTGAGAAACTGCAGGTAGATGTCATTATCGATCACAGAGCATATGGGTCGTATCGCGCATCGTATCAAGATCTACGGGTAAACAGAGAACGCTCGGGCTACCAGCACGACGCAGCCTCGTCGGCTATCCGTCCAACTCTGAGCTAACATCCTTGTGCTGCTGGCCGCGTTGGCCGCGCCTCGATATTGTGGGGTATTCGCACGGGAGATTGCGCTTCGTGCATTGCCTGCGAATTTGAGAGTTAGCACACGTCATTCGGCCCTCGCGGATACGAGAAAAAAGAACGGCGAAGAGAGTTTGAGAAGGTGGGTTGATAACGGTAGATCTCCGCTGATGGCTCTGTACGGCGTACGTGCCTCAACGGCTTGAGCAACTCCGCGCTGATATAAAGCGCGGGATCTCGAATCGCAAAGCAGATGTCACAGCGCCGCGACTAAGCACGCTCGGATACCACGATGAGCCTCACTCACTCGCACGTCTTGTCTCCGCTGCCCACCACTGGATTGCATGATATCTTGCGGCCTCGGCAGAAGAAGCATGCGAGAAACCCTCGACCCTTCCGGGGACCCTTATTTGGCCCGCGGGTCCGCTTCGGACGACGCCGTGGCGGCTCGCCCTCCGCCGACGAATCTCCAGTTTTGGCGTCAGAGGACGTGCTCGCCGTCATCGAGACAGGCGTTCCCGTCTCGTGGATGAAGGTAACGCTTTGCACAGCGTCCTGCTCGCCATCTCCGATCTTGACTGGCGTGATCGATAGCGCTTTGGTGGCGGGGAGTAGAAGCGTCGGTTGTACGCGCTGCAACGATGGCGTACGTGGACCGGTGGCGGGCTGAGGCGGTGCGCACGTAACCTCCGCCGGCGAATCTCCTGCTCTTGCAAGAGAGGATAGGTTGAGGGTCGTCGGGATAGGCGGCGTCGTTCCGTAGGAAAAGGTAACGCCTGGCATAACGTCCTGCTCTCCGTCCTTGTTCTTGGCTGGCGTGATCGATAGCGGGTTGGTGGCGGGAAATGGAGGTGCCGGCCATACGGTCGGCAGCGATAGCGTACCTGAACCGGCACAGGGCGGAGACGAGGCGCGCGTAACCGGGGCCGCACTTGTCGGTGAGTTGAGCTTCAGCATAACGTCCCCGAGGGCGTTCGCGAGACTACTGAATTGTGAGCGTGCAGCGTCCGGGATTGGCGGCATGCTAGATGGAAGCCGCCAATCGTCACTGATTGGATACAGCTGTGGGGCAGGTGGGTTGTGCTCTGGCCGTGGAGCATAGTGTCCGTGAACATCGTGGTAGTGTGCGTGATAGTTGGGGTGATCCTGTGCGTAGCCAACTCCTACCTGACACTCTGTCAGCTGCACGCACACGGACAAGAGATCGAGCGGCTTACAGAGTAAGGTCCATCATTTGATGTAGCTGAACTCTGCCCACTCTCTCTTGTTTTTGTGTTGTGCGGCGGGAGTGGGGGGGAGCCAGCGGTAAGCGCGACTGAGATGGGCGCAGAGTTCATGTTTCGGTACCTATAGCCTGCGCTTCCTTGCGCGGCGGGACGCGGTACGCCGTAGGGAACAACAGGGTCTGCATCGTGATTCGTTTGCGAATACACGGCTCCTGGTGTACAATGAGGAGCCTCCTGAGCTGCGAAAGCCTTTCGGAGTGTGAGAGCGTGTCGACAGCGAGAGGGATTTGAACACACCGAAGCGAAGTCCTGTTTAGGACGGTACGGTGCGTACCGATGTCCAGCCAAAGCTCGAAGTTGAGGCACGAGGTGCGCTGAGTCGAGCTCGTCGCGCGCGAGCGGAGGGCAGCGGCAAGCAGACGGACCTGAAGCCCAAGACATCTTGACTAACGCGGCGAAGAAGAAAGAGCGGTGAGGCTGGTGAGGGCGTGATTGTCGAACAACAAACGAGAACAAACTTTGTGTAGCCTTAGTATAAGAGCACTGCGGATGAATACCGAACCTGGCGCTTGACGGCTTCCTTCTTGTTGATCAGACCGTACGCGAATCGCTACTAGCGCCGGAAGAGAAGTAGGCTAGACGCGCGGCGAGGTGAGGGAAAGAAGAACACGTACAATCGCGCTTGCCGCGAAGATGTCCGTGGATCAGACAGGCAGATGCCCATCCTAACGTCGCTCCCACGCATGCGCCGTACACGCAGCTTGTACATGTTGAGTGTCACGGCGGAGAGACCATATCTTAGCTTCAAAGGTAACACTGGAGGGGATGCGTACGAGTCGCGGACTCCCCTCACAGTTCAAAGAAGGCCTTCTGACGCGCCACTGAAACACGCCGATTGCCTCGGCCGCGGTAAGAACACGATGTAGTGGGACGGAAAGGGGTCAATTGAGTAGATCAACTCGAAGACTTCCCAAACGAAGCTGCCGGAGATGACGAATACTATTACTGCCGCGCGGAACATATTCAATCACAGTGGGGGCCGGTGGACCACGGTCAGCACACTTGTTGGTCCAGAGCCTATCTCAGACTTCCCTTCATCGTTGTAGTGGATTTATCCGAGGACCATGGGAGCGCATCTCACTCCTAGTAGCTCCTCTAGAGGGTTTGGTTCCCCAAACTTGAAACCAATAGTCGCCTCAGTGCGTCCGTAATGCGTCGAGATTTGACGTGAAGCTTGAGGCCTTCGAAGCCCGGCAGGTATAATCGAGCGCATATAGGGACCACCAGACATGGGTCACCAGGTCGGAAGATTGATCGTCCGATGTGATGACTGTACGTCAAAGGCCACATGGTTGAGAGTCAGGGCAAATGGCCGAGAAGTGGACACGTGAAATCAAGAAAGCAAGCGTTGTTCGTGAACCCATTGAGGGCTTGGCTTGGCAGCCCTTGTATTGCTAGCCTCTAGTACTCTTCAAACTCTCTGCTCTTGGGGCGCACTAAGGGTCGACATAGCAGTTAAGATTGGTGGCCGAAAAAGAGTGACAGATTTGGGCAACGCGTGCAAATAAGCGAGCATTGAACAGACGGCCAATCATCATCGTCGCTCACACGTCGCTCTTCGTACCTCAGCGCTCAGCGCCAGTCTTGATGGAAGTCATTCGAGCAACGTGACGAAGATATCGGTATTCGTGCTGAGCGCTGAAAGGCCCGAGCGGGCCAAGCAAGCCGCGTCACCTCAATTCGCTCATCCGAACCTGAAGTCAACTTGAAGCTTGAAGCATCAAGGCGAGAACAACGTATCTGATACGCAAGTACTGGCTCTCGGGAAGACACAGATGCGACGCAATGGTCTACGGTACTCGGTGCTCATCGACTTTATCCTCACACGTTTTAGGGGTGATGTATTCCCATCATATGTAGAGGCGATATCACAGAGTCAGACGCAAGCTTATTGAACATTCACTGGTATTCACTTCACCAGCCTACATATGCTCACCTCCCTGCTTAATCTTTGCTCTTTGCCTTTGACGCCCGAGCCTTCCCCCCCCTGCGCCTTGCCGATCTACCTCCCTTGCCTTGCTTGCTAACCGTGGGCTTGGCTGGCGCTGATACGACCATAGCGTCAACGTCTTCATCGTCGTTGTCAAGCCCTCCTTCAATCTCGTCGCCGTTTGCATCCCACGCACGTCGCTTAGGCCGCTTCGCCTTCGCAAGTTTCTCCTTCCTGCGATCTGCGCGCGCCGTCATGTCGTCCACTTCCTCCGACGTAAGCATTGAAAGCGGGTCGATGGAAATTCCCTCTGTTGTGTGCACCGCTAGAAACCTTGCCGCGTCCGTCCGGTACTCTTCGAACTGCTTGCGCCACTTTGCAGCCTGCGCCCTACGAATGTACGCTTGCTTGCATGCATAAGCGCGCACGCCATCAGCCCAAGCTGCGTCCTGCGCCCACGCCTTGTCCTTGTCGCCCAGTATAGTTGTAAGCTCCGGCGCCACACGTCGTTCCCAGATCAACGCCATAGATTTGTTGAAGTCCAGTACACGCTGCATCTCGGCGTCAAGCAGGCGCACCTCCTCCACCCAGTGCATGGCCCGCGCGCGGCACTTGCTCCACTCGACCAAAAGCTCTGAAAAGGACGTTGGTAAGTATACCCGAAAAGATTATACCGAGGGCACGGACCGTCGGTGATCTCCAGGCCTGATTCAGACGTCGAACTAAACCAAATCCAAGGAAGCTCGTGATGTGTGTCGCCCGACGATGAAGAGCCCTTTCTCTCCATAACAAACCTTTGCGCTTCGTATTCGGACATGCCCTCGATCTGTTCGAGGAGACGATCTCCTAAAGCACGGCAGTCCGATACCAAGAGGTCTCGCATGGTCTCTTCCCACTTTCCACGACCCATGATTGCCAGATATGCGCTACGATGACGCCGGTACGCATCGGCGTCCCTTTTGACGTTGGCGTCTACGGCTGCCTGAGCAGTGCGTGCGCGCGTATTTGCTCGCTGGCCGGTGATGTTGGCGATCTTGAATCTGTTAAGACAGCCTTTAAGACGTAGCTGATGCCGTAGGTTGTCCAATGCGTCCGCCATGGACGCCCACCGAAGTTTAGCTTCCACCGCACGAGCCGCAGCAGAGACGAGAGCCTGATCGCCGTCAGGCGGGCTAGAGGGCATGTACAAATCGACGGATAGTGCGTCTTTTCGACTGGGATCACGTTCTTCTGAAGTCAACGTAGCGTATGTCGCCGGCATGATGTGCTCTTGGTCCTCGCGAAATTTAACGATGGCGCGCACCAAGTTGTTCATGGCCTGCGTCGTCGACGTCGCCTGCTTATCTGTACCCCCCTCTAGTTGGTACTTGGATGAGATCCGTTGCCTACTTCAGGATCAGTCTTTGAAAGCAGCGTGTCAGTGGCGATGAACTCATACCGTTCGTCTTCAATGTGAAGCCCTTTCAGTAGAAGACGCGCTAACTCGACTTCGTCATCCAATCGCCCCTCCGCAGCAGTTCTTTGAGTGGATCCCGCCGCCTCCTCGGTCTTGCGTCTGATCTGAGCAATGGATACGTCTAGAAGTCGAACAGTCAGATCGCGCTTTGGCACCGAAATATACGGACGTACTCTGTTTGATAACATGATAAGGGCAAGCGTGGTCATTCGCCTTGGACTGATCACAGCTATCCCAGAGCGCGTGGCGCTCGCGTTCTTTTCTCAGCCTTGCAGCGTCTTGATCTTCCAACGCCTCCGTGAACGCTGTGAAGATAGCCGTTTGCGTCAAGCCTTCATGAAGAGCGCGCTCCATGCGTTCCACTAGGGAGTCGGCTGCCGAGAAAGCAAAGATGAGGCGTCGATGCACGACGTAGATTGAGATACTTACCAATTTCGCAAAGTTTTCTCCAGTTCCATGAACCTGCCATGTCGTCCATGACGTCGTTCATGCCGCCCGGTCCCATTTCACGTAAACTCGCTGCTGCAGGGTTCGCGCCCGCCCAGGCGCGCTCCGGGGTCTCGCCGTCGGTCAAGCCCGTGCCGCGTAACCAAAGGTAGGCCAGGCGTATCTGGCACCAGACTTTGTGGGCGTACAAGTGGAACTTGGGCACAACGTATGTAAGCGCACCAGAATTGGCCAGCGAGAGTAGCCGTTGAGCTCCGGTCCATACAACCCGAACCCCGCGGATCTTGCCGAGACGTTCGTTCAATCTCTTACTATACTGGCAGACCACGTCGTAGGACACCGTGACCTCAGGAGCTCTTATGAAGGACATCGCACCGCTCAGGATGTAGTCGATAACGTTGAACCTGACGTGGCCGATTTAGCGGTAAACAAAGATACAAGGCAGACGCTCTGCTTACCGCTCACCGACGCGCAACGTGGCCAAGCCCAGGGGCATCACAAATTCGTGACGGGCACAAAAACAACCGGCCACACCAGTAGTCCGGAGACCCTTACCACCTTTCATATTCGCGAGAAATAACGCTCCAAAACGCGAGCAGTCGCCGTACTGAAGACTGATCAGACTACGAGGGCAGCTTCCCAAGCACAACGCACCTGTTCAGTTATCTCTTTGTCCGTCTCGCAGATGTATGCTGCATAATCGTCCCAAGGAGCCATGTACGCTCGACCATCAGTAAGATTCGGGTCTGTTTGAGTCGTGGATCGAGTGAGTTTGTTAGCAAGCCTGAAATTCGCATCCAGTGCCAAGATAACGCGATACAACCAGCTGCAGCGACGTCAGATTATGCACCGATACGTTCCAGCAAAGCAACTCAGAAGCGGACCGGAAAGGACTCAACGCCCAATCAGCAGGGACGTTCATGTCAAAGTTAGGACATGCAGGACATAGAACGGCAGCCGCGCCGGGCGGCGTGGCGGCGATGCCGCCTTCCTCATGCCCTCGTCCTGCTCGTTTGAACATCAAGATGTGGCGGAATTGTCGCACGCAGTTGGACAGTTGCTGGCGGACGCTCTATCCCTTCGAATCAGTACGCTGTTGTTCATCAAGATAGAAGGATGCTTACCGCAAGGCCCTTCAACAAAGCTCCATCTGTACCCGCCTCTAATGCTCGATAAAAGTCGTATACATTTAGTCGACCGAGCAAAGAGAGTCGAGTAAAGAGATCCAGCGCCTCCACCGTGGTTGCCGTTTGAGGATTCTCACATGTAGCGGGCCAAAATCCCCAGCGTAGAAGCTGTATGTGATAAGGAACATGGCGCCCAAGCTCGCAGCCGCAGAAGTCGACGGGTACTTTATGCACTCCGTTGGTATGGACGATGGTGAACCGTTCAACCGCATGCAGAACACGGAAGTCGCATATTTCTCCGGGTCTATGGAGAAGTTGAACGCGGATACCGAGTTCAGCACGCTCGACGCGCTCGTAGAAACCCTTGGAGTCGTTGAAACGCTGCGAGTGTAGGCCGTAGTTGAGCGGCTTCGAAGTTCGTGCTGATGACGGGCCGGGGCGACGTACCTCTATGTTGTGCAGAGGCGTGTAGCGATGCCAGTGCACTATGCAGTCTTTGCATAAGTCGGCGCCTCGACAATCGTCGCATCGGTAGTCAGGAAATCCTTCTTTCTTGCACGAAGGGCAGTGCGTCAGTCGTAATGCTTCGGCGCGCCCGTCGCGTCGAAGCATCTCTTCCAGAAAGCGCTTCCGCCATCGAAATTTCCAAGGCAAGAGCGGAAACTCCTGTAAACATGAGCGAGTATTCAACGCGCGTGATCATTACGAGGGTACGTACCGACCATAGTTTACGAAGGCGCTTCGTAAGCGAGGGTGAGGCGTCATGGCGCTCAGAATCCTCGCTCGTTGTCGGTGCATCCTGAGACGAATCGACAGGGTCAACGACAGCGGGAACCTCGGTTTCAGATGCTACCAGGAAGCGTTGAGCACGTAGCACTATAAGTCGAGGAAAGTTTGACACACCCTTGCGTTTTAACCTCTTCTGTATGTCGTCTAAAGACTCGCCATGAAAAGCCTTGCGAAGGATGTCGGCTAACTGATCTGGCTGCCTAGACTTGTCTGCGTCCTGGCGTTGGTCTGTCTCTTCCCGGCCCAAGGTCGTTGACAACGCAGCCTTCCCAAAGACGAAGGGTCTGGTCAGATCGCCAGGGAACGGGGAGAAGAAGCAGCTTGACGCCTTTGTTGCTGTACTCGGCAGAAGGCCAGATGCACCCCCAGAGAGGCCGGGGAACAGGCGAATTCGTTTGCGCGACTTGCGCTGAGTAGGCCAGCTCATGAGAATCGTTTCCAAAGGTACCGCCAGCGGGACCGGGGAACAAGCATATCCATGGGCGTGGGATGACCTGAGGAAACTGGCTCATGATGGTCGCCTCCGCAGGTATGACCGGCGTCTTGGTGACTGCGAAGGAAGCGCAGGCACACTAGCCATGCCGGGCTACTACGCATAGGGTTCAATTGATTGAACACGCAATCATACGGTAAAACGCACCGTTTACTAGCCGGCGCGGCAACGCGACGCGGTATTCTCAGCGGGTACAACCGGGCGCGACCGACATCTTGATGATTGTGATGGAAGCGCGGGCACGCTAGCCATACGAGGCTACGCATAAGAATCAAAGCAGCTGAACAAACAGACAATCAAACGGTGAGACGTATACTCTGCTAGTCGGCGTGACGGCATGACGCGGTGTTCGGACAGGAAAAGAGGCGCCGTGGGGGTATTCCTTGGCGTGTCGGTGTCGGTGACCATCGGATCTTGTGCGGTGGCTCGGACGTACCAACTTCCAGCGCGCTCACCGTCGAGATACCTGATACCGCTTTTGATGCGCACAATCTGAAATGGATCGCTGGTGGTGAGAACGAGCCCAGGGGTGCCCATGGGCGCTAGAGACAGCTACACGTACTCAGATGACCCCTCCTGTCCCTCTATACGCACGTGTCCGTACGGTATTCTGTATTTCATCATCAACACGCACAGATCGCCCAGCGGAGACAAGCGTGCTTGAAACGATAGTTCGGGGCCTAGAATCGAACAGCCGGAAGAATAGGTCGGAGCAGCGTACAACGTGCACTCGTATATATTATCATACAACACAGCATGCGTACAGTATGAACAGTCAACCTAATGGGAGTTCGGTTATGCTGTCGGTGCACGAAAATGAAGAACTCACGACACAGTGCTAAAGCGACCTCATACTGCGCTACCAGAACCAACGGTCAAGACAGCATGCGCTACAACGTCTCTGAGTTGAACCGGCGAGTATGGCTTGAGCTGACGGCGTAGGAGATGCCAGGACGAACTGGCAACGAAGTGAGCTCGAGCAAAGACGAATATCGTGTAAGGACTACGTACGTATGCGTCTTATCACTATTAGACGGGATAGTGTCGTTACAGCCGACTAGCCACTGACCATGCCCTATGTGTTGAACGGGCAATCGGGGTTGAGAGATGCTTGTGATATCGAGCAACAACTCGACGGGCTGCGTTGAGTCAAGAACGTCACAGTGGGCAAACCTGAGGGCGATCTCAAATCCCGCAACCAGATACGAGCGCGAGGATAGCCCAGGATAGCTCAGGCTCAGGTTGTCTAAAGATATCGGTATACAGCTCGCGCGTAAGAACTCGCTTCTTGGACCGGCCGGGATGATCGTACACGATATTGCCTACAGACACCCAGGTCAGTACGTCGTATACGGAAGCTAGATTCCTACTGACCATCGACATCATCAACTTCACGAGCAAGTCCTTGTGCGGTGCCAGAAGTGCCAAAGCAGTGCAGTGGAGGCGGCGATGCCATCGGTAGATCTTAAAGCTTGATGATAGAAGCGCACCGGCGGCTTGTAAGTCCCAAAGCCTTCGCTAGCTACTGAAGAGTTCTAGACGTGCATGCCCAGCGGCCACAAGGTAATCGCGCAGGGAGTTTCGCCAGACTGACGGATGGTGGTGGTGGAGGCCATGCTGGGATAACGGTGGTGGTGGGAGAATCTAAGTTGCGTCAAGCCCCAAACGCTAAGATCTGAGCAGTCGCGTGAACGTTCTAGCCCATGTGCGTTGATCACTTCGTTCGCTCTCACCTCTCCCGCCACCATGTCCTTCTTCACCGTCTCGTCCCTCTGGTGTGCCCCGAGTAGCACAGTATGCCGAATTAAGAAGCCTGCTCCTACGCAAGTGCGTGCTAGGGCCAGTCCTCCCGCCAGTGGACTTCACCCCGCCGACAAACCCTTCCGCACCCGCGAGCGCTCCAATCGCTTCTATGAGCGCCAGCACCCGTCCACACCAGCACGCCGCTTGCGCTCGTGCACTCGCGCCCGCATTTCGCAAGATTCATGATACCAGGGTAGCTTGCCAGGCTTGTCACATCGGTCTCGTTCGCCATGTATTCGGGATCGGCCCTCGGCATCTCACCCGCATCCCGAGGATCTTGCGCTGGAGAATATAGGGTTATATTTCCGATTCGAATACGGATCCGACCCATCGTAGGAGAACTGCGACGGCCACCTCTCAGCTCTCAGGTTAGCCCATTGAGAGCGAAAAGTTTTGAGACTAGAGGCAGCGTGTACGCGACGAGTATGCTCGCCTCATCCATCATCTTCTTGCTTATCTCATCCTCTTCACGCTGTCCTTGTATACCGTAGCTGTACGACTTGAATTGTATGCACAGTGTCAATGCAATGTACTTGATGGCGCGAACATCCTTGAGCGCGAGAGTTTGATTCTATGGTAAGCTCTCCACCGCGGTGTGTTCATTCATGCCAACCCATGGTGCGCTCAATTAGTCGCCTGTTACTCGCATTACTTACTCACGCATTCTCTCAACCCATCAGTTCTCTGGGATAACTACGTATTTCGTCCTACCCGGTGCACTTGCGACTCCCCGTCCCGTTTCCTCATTCGCCACCGTGTGTAACCGACCATCGTCAGCCCTGTCGGACAGCATTCGTAGCCAGTACGTTTCCCTCGCGAGCATCGCATTCCTCGCACAATAAGCAGGTCACAACTCTACGCTCGAGCCCGGTACGTCTGAGCTCCGAATCTCCTACATCATTCTCATCGGACCGGGCAGGACCCGTGGACATTCCACGACCATGAACGAGCGGCATGTCTGACCGCCCTCTTTGTCTCGCATCTGTTTACTGACCAAATAGCTGATACAAGCCTACAGAGAGCAAGCACCCACCCGCTTGGACTATTTTATCGCTTACGCCCTGTGTCGAACACGCATACTAGAACGTATCGCGTACGCGTCACCTTCCCTGCTACAGCGCCTTAAGGCGCGCCTCCCCGCCGCGAAAGACTTTGCAGGGCATCGAATCTTTCATGCTGTCTGGCGAGATTATCTGCGGCGACACCCATACTCCATCATCATCAAGCCCGTATACGTTCTCTCCCGGGCTATGTTGCCCTGTGTGAGATGCGCTAATGTCGAGGCGATCTTCCGTGGCGGGCCGGTTGTGGGGTTGATGCCGCCGAACTGTGATAAGTCACAACACGTATCACGGCGGGCATAAGGACGAGCTGTATAATATACGCCTTGTTCCAGAGTCCGTCCCGGTTGCGCCGCGACTGCCCAACAATATGTCTCCCTGAGTTCACATCGGACAGTTACTGTGCGCTCCCTTCAAGACCCTATAGTCAATCTTCCAAGCGGCGACGTCAGGATTGTCAAAGCCGACGTGCCGCATGACATGAAAGGAGACCGACTAAACAACAGGGTAGATCTATAGAATGTCCAGTACCTGGCGGTATGCCTCATCAAGGCACCGGAAAGACCAACTTATTTTACTCCATTGAAAGCTAGATGCGCTGCATGCATTAGGCGAAATGGCCACGATCTACGATCCCTTCAAGATCTATGCGCATCATACAAGCACAGTATTTATTCGCAGTACAGTACAGGTTCCGTGCAACACGATGTATCATACAAAGACGAATACAAAGACGAGCGCGTGCAACTTAGTCAGAAAAGCGCATACGCTTCTGCGAATGATTCCCTAGCGCATCTTCTCGCCTTCCGCGCGCGTCCTTGGCAAACTTCGATCCCGCCGCAAGGCTCCTACTCGGTGTCACAAACGTGTGCGATGCGATGGGTCATAATTGCTCGGCGGCAAATCCCAAGACCCATGGTCGACAGCATCGCAATCATCGTCGTCGGTTTCGACTCTCAGGGTGTTGGACGAGGACAACGATCAGCAGCTGCGGGAGAGCTGATGACTGGATGCGGCGGCCATGAACTTATGGCTCGTCGCTCATCGTCCAAGGGTTGAGGTCGTCGTTGATGGTACTCGCGACCCGCCCGGAGTAGCTCGCGCTCGGGGCACTGTTGTGGGCGTTCCGGTCAGAGCATGGCCACTTGTGGCGTCCTCACTGCGGTCCCAGGAGTCGCGATTCCCAATCGCGAAGCTTGATAATCCACCGCCGTATGTGGCCAAGACCGAGACCATGGCCGCTCGCAACACCGCCGAGACCATCCAGCGAGGTGAGCGAGAATCCATGGGCGGATAGCATGTTGCTCGACGGTCCGGCATCGAAGTCGTGTGAGGTATATTGCCAAGTGAACTCGGAGCCATATTTGCTCGCGCAAATGTCGCCGAAAACGCCGGGAGTATTGACGGCGGATTGGATGGAGGAAGATGAGGCCGGCGCGATAACCCGGGCTGAGGCATAGTAGGCGATGCGGGCGGTAGAGATAGGTCGGGCTGAAGCGTGGGTAGAACGATACAGGCGGCGGAGACAAGTCTGGCTGAGGCTTAGGCGATAGGGGCGCGGGCGTATGCGGCAACGTTGAGAGTGATGATGAGGGGCCTGGGGAAGCGTGCGTAGATGCTGAATGCGCATGCGAGGCGTGTACAGAGAACAGGAGTCTGGCCGGCCATCTTGTGAACTGAGAACGAAGCAGGCGAGAAGCGTCGACGTCGAGCGCCGCCTGCAACCCTTCGCGTGCGTACGTTCAGCTGGACCATTCGGCGCGTTCGTCCAGTACGGGGAGCCAGCTTGTAACGCACAAGGCAACTGGCGGAGCTTGACTAGGGTTCCGTATGACTTTGGAGTAAGAAACGTTTGCCGGTGTCGTATCAATGTGGTCATACCGCAGTGCGAAGTCTAGCCCACGGTCGAGTTCCGCGTACCGGACGACAAACTAGAAAGCGTGTCAGATGTTGGGTGCTCCGACGGGCTCGACGACTTACAGGCGCTACAGGTGCGTCATCCAACCGTTCCGTCACAGTGCCAGGCAGAGCGCGCATGGCCGAGCAAGCCCAGTCTGTCAACGGTGACAA